AGACACCATTGGACAGAAGAAAAAGAAGGCAAAGTTCATGCTGGTAGATCTAACAAAAACTGAGGCTGAGTGGGTGTGGAAGAAAGTAGATAGGGAAACCAAACCTTTAAAATGACTCAAAATGAAAGCAACCATGGATTTTGGTTATTATTGGTTGGTTACTTGTGACAAGTGTACCATAGTAAATAAGATATAAAACAAACACTCTTATTACCCTCGCAACTTTTGTTGTAAAAATAAAGTTTATTCTAAATTAAAACTTAGAAGGAAAGGGAATAAGAGGGGAGGGAGGAGAAAGGAGGAAAGGAAGGAAGGAGGAGGAAGGAAGGAGAAAGGGAGGAGGATTTCCACTGAGACTGCCTGCTTACTTCCTCATAGGATGTTCCCGGCTTGGTCTTTCTTTTGGGAAGGATAAATCTTAGAAAGTCAACCAAAATAGTTGTATCCTCCAGGAAAGGGTTGAAGTCCTCATCTGTTTCAATCATCTAGAAAATGACATCATGGTAAATGGAAAGAAGAATGTTAATCAGGTGATTAAAGATCTTTAAAAAAAATTCTGAGATATAGACTCAAATGTCTTTAAAGTAGGCAATATTAATATTATGTCTCTCTCTTCCTTCCCTCTCTCCCTCCACTCCATCTTCTCCTCTCCTGAATTGCTAACATTAAAATCCCAGTCTTCTGTATTAGTAAAACTGCTTCCTATTACTATCTTTAATTCAAATTTATAAAGAAGGATATAAGAACGATAAGTAATGAGACATCAAATACCACCAGAAGTTTTCAGGTAAGGGAATTAAATAAAATTTGGAATCTTTCCTGCTGTCTATGGCAGCTAATGAAACTATAAATAGTTTCATTGAATCTATTATAATTCCATTTCATTACTGAATTAATCATTTAGATCAAAATTTCCCAGGTCCTCAGATTTCGAAGGCATTTCCTTAAAAAAAATGCCTGAGATGCTAAAATAGGTACCAACATTATTTTTCCAAGTGGGACTTGGAAAACAACTACATCTACTATCCTTTTATGCCACTAAAGACTGCTTTAATGCCTCAAAAACAGAAAAGGCTTAATCTTAGAGTTAATTCATCCCAAGAAAAAAGAGTTGATATCTTGTGCACCAATATGCACACTTGCACTCTTACTTATTTTACTATTGACAAGCAAAAACCTTGTCACAGGACTGGCAGTGAACCCAGGTAGGTTCTTGAGAATCACTGCTTTGGAGTGTGACAAATGTGGCCAGCATTATGTTCAGGGTTGAAAGGTAAACATGGAAATGACTATTCCCCCTGAGGTTAACTAGTACTTGTCTCTAAGAGTGTGTGTGTTGTCCACTTCCTGATGCCATCCCTAGCTTGGCTTCCCTTGGCAGCACCTTGGACACTGGTTACTCAGTACACTTGCAGTGCTTTTACCATTCCAGACCTCCTTGCATCCCCTGTCTGCTAATTCCTAATTTGCTCTTGGAACACCTCCAACTTTGGTGATCACGTTATAACCTGAGCTCTTAGCTTGTTGTTCTGTGCATATGGGCTAATTTATATTCTAGATTCATGTCTGCCTCTTGGTTTGTGCCATTCAGTCCCCACCATAGATAGAGCTATGAATTACCTGCATCTGTCTTACCTTGTTCCAAGTCACCCCCCCTCTGAGTGTATCCCACCTTCTAGCCTCACAGATTCATAGCTGTTCCTGCCATGCCAAATATCAACACTAAAACAAAGCACCCACCAACTCAAAACAAACAACACACACATGGTAATAGGAGACAACAGATGTTCCTAAAGGAAAACTGAGCTGGACTTCAGAACAGCTCCTAAATGTTCAAGGAGAGGTTGTTTATCACATGGTCAAATCTATTCTCTGCCAGGGAGTTGGTGGGGCTTAATAGAAACAAATTGGAAAACTAAAAGGATTTCATCTATTTCCAAAAAACAAGATAGCAGAGATAAATAATTTGTAACAGCATACCCTGACCACCAGGTTGTAATTCTTAAATCCAGCCCAAGTGAAATATTCTTTTATCCAGGATGAGTGAAGAAAGATTTCATCCCCTATAGCAGCATTCAAAGTGTTCAGATATGGTTCAAAGTCCCAGGAATCTTTGTAAATTTTAGTTCCTTCTGGAGGCTCTATGATGCCTTTGCTTAAAAAAACAAACATGAGAGAATGGCAAAAGATGTAAACAATAAATTAGCTTTTAAATACTAAAATTCAATCAGATTTGAGATGGAAATGAAGTGCCTCATGGGCCTCACCTTAGCCTAAACCAAAGCAGCTACCATCATTATTTAGTAGGATGGGTTTTTAGTCAGATTTCATTTGAATAATAAAGTTGACATCTAGGACCAAGCATGGTCACACACCTGTAGTCCCAGCTCTTCAGGAGACAGAGCTAGGAGAAGAGGTTTGAGGCCAGTCAAAGGAAAAGTTAGTAAGACCCTATCTCAAAACCAAGCTGGGGGTGGTGGTGCATGCCTGGGATCTCAGCTACTTGAGAGGTGAAGGTTGGAGGATTGTTGTCTGAGGCTAGCCCAGGCAAAAATGCAAGACTCTATCTGAGAAACAAACCATAAGCAAAAGGACTGGGGACATGGCTCAAGTGGTAAAGTGCCTGTCTAGCAAGCACAATTCCCTGAGTTCAATTCTCTAAAAATATAATTAAAAAAAAGTTCATGTCTGGGAGGAAAAAGTTCAAAATCACTGATTTGGACCCTTTAGGGGAACAATTCTGGAAATGTTGGATACAACTTGGTTGCATTGACTTTGTGAGTATTCCCACACTCCTACCTCTCCATTCCAATTAGAAGATAAATTTCATAAAAGTAACAACCACAACTGAGTATATAACAGGTGCTCAATACGTATTTGTTACATGTACAGATCACTTTAGCTTATCTTTGAGATATACACAGAATTTTGTGTCTCTAATAATTTGGTGCTCTGACTATACTAATCAAACTACAACTGACAGAAAAATGGGCAATTTTATCTTTAAATCTACCCAGTCAGCAAAATGGACAAGGGAGTTCCTAAAGTGAAGTCCAATCCTGTGAAAATGGCTCATTGCATGGAACATGGAATCTTGAATTCTGGGAATGGAACAGAATGCGAGCTGGAAACAGGAAATAATAAGGATAGAAACAGGCGCGCTGACCAGGAAAAGGATTTGGCAGGCAATGAACAATCCCTCTTCCCCCCAATTCTACTTTTAGCACATTATATGCCTTAAGCTACAGTTGCACTGGGTTCCATAATAAATCGTTTACCAAATCCTAAAGCTTATCACTTCTAAATATATCTCAAATCTTCCCCCTGCTCCTTGTCCCATCTCAGTCTAGAGCCTCACTAATCTCTTCTAATATAAAGCCACAGACTCCCAACTGGCCTCCCTGACTCCAGTGTTCTATCTGCAGTCTCTTCCCCAGTTCATTCCCTTATGACAAACGAAAAATTTTTCCAAAAACACAGTTCAGTAGCAATCCTTTGTTTTACAACTTTCTGTAGTTCCCCTCACTCCCAGGACAAGTTATTTGCACTGGGTTATGAGACCCTTCCAACCCTGTCCTCAGCATCACATTACTCTCATCCTTTTCCTCTGCCTTCACTTGTCTACCCTGGATTCTGGTGTGTGTGCATTCAAGAGGGCAAAGACTCTTGGTACACCTACCCAGTATACCAAAGGTGCTCAGTAAATCATTTCTGAATTAACAGAATACATTTATTCACTCATTCAAATAACTATATTCTCCAAGTCCCTGATTCTAGTAAGCCCATCCTTCTCTAATTAGCTTTTGCCTCTGATAGGAATCAATTTCTCTCTCTCTCTCTCTCTCTCTCTCTCTCTCTCATTACTTGTAGTCTCTTCCTCATCTCCAAGACCTGGCTAAATGCCAGACTCCAGCCAAGCTTCCTGTGACCACATTTCTTGGACTTTCTTATTGCTTCTGCCCTTACAAGGAAGTCAATCACTTAGTCTCTGTGTGTCCGCTACACTGTGTATTAGTGCTGAAATCAAACAATACTGACTCTTGTTTCCCAGCATGCTTTGGTGTGGCACAAGGATACAAAGGCAAATTTCTGGGCTCTAACTCAGATCTCCTGAGTCAGAATCTCTGGCAGAAGCCCAGACCCCTCTGGTTATTTTGACATTCACTGGAATTTGAGAATGACTATTGTAGGATGCATCTGGAGGCCTGTAGAGATGGTTTTGGAGAGTTAGGAAAATGTCAAATGATGAAGGCTCTTGAATGCCCAATAATAACTGAAATAATTAAAAACATTTTTCACTCTTAACCTGGAAAATAAAGACCTCTCTTCTCCAAGAAGCACTGGGGAGATCTTGAAGAATTTTAAGTAGGAAAGAAAAAGGAATAGTTTTGCAATTTAGAAGAAATTAAACTATTCAGCTTGAAGAGTATGGCTGTCAAAATTTTTGCTAAAATTCACAAGAAAACCACATTTAATCAGAGACCCCAGAAGATGCACACAAATAAAAGGTTATGTCATGAAATAAATTTATGAAAGAATACCCTTATTATATGCAATGCACTCAGACATTTATGCTATTATTCATTTCATTTTTAATGAAACATGAGTTTGGGGCAATGACCTTGATTGTATGGCCTGTCAAGAATTGGACTTTGGCATATTGAAAAATGCATAGGTGGCTGCGATGTGGGGAGTGAGAAATTGTGAGATGTGGATTGAGACCAGCAGAGAGGCTGTTTGTTATTAAGAAGATAACTGGCCAGGTGTGATAACTCATTTCATGTTTGGAAGTTAACAAAGGCCAAAATTGGCTACTTTATCATTTATACCAATTTTATAACGGTAAGGCTGGGAGAGGGTAGGTTTTGGGTAATTGTGTGCACTACTTCCCAATATCTGTGAGAGTGAAGAACTCATGGCTCTGTTTGGCTCAACACAAGTACTTATTAAAATATGGGTTTGTGACACCAATGTTACCCTTTCTTGATTTGCATTTCCGTGTATTATTTACCTTGTCCAAAATGTAGTACCTTCAGAATAGTAATACATTGTTGTAACTACCAACAAGAAACAATGAAAACTTCCTCACTGCTTTTTACTTATGTCAAACAATGCACTTTTGAGTTCTATCAATGATCCTTAATAGAAAACAATTTACTCATTAGTTTCTAGTAAATTTCTAAAATGAGGAAAAACATTATTATATAGGATGAGAAGTTTGGGGAATAACTGTCTTCTTTTTCCGTGGGTTTGAAAGATACTTTTTAGATGATTTATTTTATCTAAATAGTAAGATTTCTATTTTAAAAAGTGATATGTGGATTTTAATGCACAGAATCTTAGTATGATACTCAATAAAATGTTACTGCAAGAGTAGTGTTTCTGTCAAGAGTCCAGAATTGATCATTATTTGAACATAATATTGAAAAAATTATAAAGCCTTTTTATCATCTATAAATACTTAAGTCAAACCTGTCTGTTGGATCCTTTAGCATCCTGCCCAGGTCAAGGGTAGCTCCAGGTCGTGGGGTCCAAGTTACCACATCAGAGTTTTTCTTGATAAGATTGTTGAGTTGAATTGGGTCATTTTTTATGTTTGTTTCCTTAATATACCTGAGAAATAAAAGCATTCCCAGGTAAGATTATTCTTAGATGCATAGTCTGATTACTACAATGACAATTTTTTGTTTTCTTTACATCCCCACTTGTCAATCCCTCTCCACTCACCTCATGGAAAAATAAAGTCTAGACAGCTAGTATCCCTAATGAAAGAAGAAGTACCAGTGAAAGAAGCTGTACAGATTCTTTGTTTTTATATACAATTACATAGTGATTGTAACTGAAATTAGATGTGCCAAGTCATATGATTATAAGTAGGTGGGAATTGTACACTCTTGCATTTAATATTAATTAATTATATTGACCGATTAAATGTTATTTGGTAGGTATTATGTTAATTGCTTAATATGAACTAATTGATTTTATCTGCCCAATGTGTTGTGAGAGAGCTACTCTTATTGTGTTCATATTATAGAGAAGGAAACTAAGGCTTCCAACACATCACACAGCCAGAGTAGGCTCAACCTCCATAGAAGGCCATAGGATGGGAGACTCTCCCCAACTTTGGGAGTAACGTCTAAAAAGTCTGTGCATTCAAAAGCATTAAAAATCTATCTGTTACAATAAAGCACACATGCTATCAGTCATAACATATGCTGAGACCTAGTTCCTTTTTCTCTTGTGGTGCTGGTGATTAAATGCAGAACCTCAAGCACACTAAGCATCTGCTCTACCACGAAGATATATCTGCAGCCCACAATCTAACGGTGCCATTAGCAGAGCTGGGTGTCTCTCAAATTCAACTCTAGACAACAATCTCAAAAAGTGTAAATTTTATTAAAAATGATCTAATTTGGAAGGAAATAATTTATATAATTTAATGTAAGTTTTTGTAAACAAAAGACCTCCTCTAAATAAAGTAAATCCATATGGAGATTCTTTTAGTCCAGGCATTTTTTTTCTACCTTTTATTAAGATTTCATACATTTATATAATATATAAATACAGCTTATTATTACAATGTTAAATAAACTACTTTAAGGTTTAAAAATAAAAAAATAAGCTGTAACTTGTCTATCTCAGTGCCATATTGGCAAGTGATCGAGATGGTATTACAGCAGAAAAAGGAGAACCAGAGGAAAAGGATATGTCTTTGCAATTCATCTGATGTGAAATACAGACTATTCTATTAAAGGGAATTTTACTTCCTTGATGAACAAGTTGGTTATGTGGACTTCATATTTTTAGACAGATAGACAAATGAAACAGGCAGCAGAATTAGTATTTCTGTTGCACTCAGGTGACTTACACTATTAATGATCTTGCAATCAACTGCCAGACACAAGACATTGTCACTGCACCCAAAGATGTCAGCAGCCTTTACCTTCTGAGTCATGCTGATGTCCCTCCTGCCTCCTTAACTGAAAGCAGCCTCACCAATTTTCTCTTCTTACTATCATCTCCCTGTCCCCAATGTCCCCATCTCAAGCCATGTTACTGTCAGTTATTTTTCCTAAATCATAATGTGTGGTGCTCACAAAGGTCCCTTAGCTGTGATACTTCTTTGTCTCTTTCTCTAATAATAAAAACAGTATCAGGATGTGAGCATAACACTTGCCAACTACATACCTTTACAAGTGTGGCTTTTAATTACTTTTAAAGGTAGCATCGTGTTAAGGCAGCAAACATCCCGCAAATAAGTACCCACCACCTCCAATTGTTCTCCAAGGCCTTGTACTCAATCTACTTAATATTTCTTTTGTCTAAATTCTCTTCTCACTCCCCACTGCCATTCAGCATTCCTAGGTTATTGTAATGGTTTTCAAACTGGAATCCAGGATTATATTCTTATTTCCTTTCCCACCACACAGACATACAGACGTACAACCCAGCATCTCCAGCAAACATGTAGTATGGCCCTGCTCCTCACTAGACTCCTTTGTCAGGTTCTCCATCCCTCCAGGACAAAATTCAAACCGTGTAATATGGCATACAGTTGTGGTTCTAGCCCTTTGTTTCTCCCCTTACATTAAGGGGAGAAGCCCTTATCCCTGTGCTGAACCATAATTTCTCACCTTGGCATCTTTTTATCTTTGCTGCTCAATGCCCACTCATTCTTTAAAGGTAGGCTTCACCAATGGCCCCCGAAAACAAGCAGGAGTAGCAATACTTATCTCTGACAAAGTAGACTTCAAACCTACATTGATCAAACGAGATAAAGAAGGACATTCCATACTAATAAAAGGGGAAATAGACCAAAAGGAAATAATAATCATCAATCTGTACGCACCCAATGTCAATGCACCCAATTTCATCAAACATACCCTGAAAGACCTAAAAGCATATATAAACGCCAACACAGTGGTTGTGGGAGACCTTAACACTCCATTATCATCAATAGATAGGTCATCCAAACAAAAACTCAATAAAGAAATCCAAGATCTAAAATATGCAATAGATCAAATGGACCTAGTAGATGTCTACAGAACATTTCATCCAACCTCTACACAATATACATTCTTCTCAGCAGCCCATGGAACCTTCTCCAAAATAGATCATATCCTAGGGCACAAAGCAAGCCTCAGCAAATATAAGAAAATAGAAATAATACCATGCATACTATCTGATCACAATGCAGTAAAAGTAGAACTCAACAACAAAAGTAAAGACAAAAAACATGCAAACAGCTGGAAACTAAATAACTCATTACTTAATGAAGAATGGATCATCGATGCAATAAAAGAGGAAATTAAAAAGTTCCTAGAAGTCAATGAAAATGAAAACACAACCTACCAGAACCTATGGGACACAGCTAAGGCAGTCTTGAGAGGAAAGTTTATAGCCATGAGTGCATATATTAAAAAGATTGAAAGATCCCAAATCAATGACCTAATGATACATCTCAAACTCCTAGAAAAACAAGAACAAGCAAATCCCAAAACAAATAGAAGGAGAGAAATAATAAAAATAAGAGCTGAAATCAACGAAATAGAAACCAAAAAAAACCATACAAAGAATTAATGAAACAAAAAGTTGGTTCTTTGAAAAAATAAACAAGCAAACCTGACTAAAATGAGGAGAGAAAAAACCCAAATTAGTAGAATCAGGAATGCAAAAGGGGAGATAACAACAAACACCATGGAAGTCCAGGAAATCATCAGAGTCTACTTTGAGAACCTATATTCAAATAAATTTGAAAATCTAAAAGAAATGGACAGATTTCTAGATACATATGATCATCCAAAACTGAACCAAGAGGAAATTAATCACCTGAATAGACCTATAACACAAAATGAAATTGAAGCAGCAATCAAGAGTCTCCCCAAAAAGAAAAGTCCAGGACCTGATGGATTCTCTGCTGAATTCTATCAGACCTTTAAAGAAGAACTGATACCAACCCTCCTTAAACTGTTCCATGAAATAGAAAGGGAAGGAAAACTGCCAAACACATTTTATGAAGCCAGTATTACACTTATCCCAAAACCAGGCAAAGACACCTCCAAAAAGGAGAACTATAGGCCAATCTCCTTAATGAACATTGATGCAAAAATCCTCAACAAAATAATGGCAAATCGAATTCAGCAACACATCAAAAAGATTATTCACCACGACCAGTAGGCTTCATCCCAGGGATGCAGGGGTGGTTCAACATACGAAAATCAATAAACGTAATAAACCACATTAACAGAAGCAAAGACAAAAACCACTTGATCATCTCAATAGATGCAGAAAAAGCCTTTGATAAGATCCAACATCATTTCATGATAAAAGCTCTAAGAAAACTAGGAATAGAAGGAAAGTTCCTCAACATTATAAAAGCTATATATGACAAACCTACAGCCAGCATTATACTTAACGGAGAAAAATTAAAACCATTCCCTCTAAAATCAGGAACCAGACAAGGATGCCCACTATCTCCACTCCTATTCAACATAGTACTGGAATTCCTAGCCAGAGCAATTAGGCAAGAAGAAGGAATAAAAGGAATACAAATAGGTAAAGAAACTGTCAAAATATCCCTATTTGCAGACGACATGATCCTATACCTTAAAGACCCAAAAAACTCTACTCAGAAGCTTCTAGACATCATCAATAGCTATAGCAAGGTAGCAGGATATAAAATCAACATAGAAAAATCATTAGCATTTCTATACACTAACAATGAGCAAACGGAAAAAGAATGTATGAAAACAATTCCATTTACAATAGCCTCAAAAAAATCAAATACCTAGGTGTAAACCTAACAAAAGATGTGAAAGACCTCTACAAGGAAAACTATACACTTCTGAAGAAAGAGATTGAGGAAGACTATAGAAAGTGGAGAGATCTCCCATGCTCATGGATTGGTAGAATCAACATAGTAAAAATGTCTATACTCCCAAAAGTAATCTACATGTTTAATGCAATTCCCATCAAAATTCCAATGACATTCATTAAAGAGATTGAAAAATCTACTGTTAAATTTATATGGAAACACAAGAGGCCACGAATAGCCAAGGCAATACTCAGTCAAAAGAACAATGCAGGAGGTATCACAATACCTGACTTCAAACTATATTACAAAGCAATAACAATAAAAACAGCATGGTACTGGCACAAAAACAGACATGAAGACCAGTGGAACAGAATAGAGGATCCAGATATGAAGCCACACAACTATAAGCAACTTATCTTTGACAAAGGAGCTAAAAATATACGATGGAGAAATAGCAGCCTCTTCAACAAAAACTGCTGGGAAAACTGGTTAGCAGTCTGCAAAAAACTGAAACTAGATCCATGTATATCACCCTATACCAAGATTAACTCAAAATGGATCAAGGATCTTAATATCAGACCCCAAACTCTTAAGTTGATACAAGAAAGAGTAGGAAATACTCTGGAGTTAGTAGGTATAGGTAAGAACTTTCTCAATGAAACCCCAGCAGCACAGCAACTAAGAGATAGCATAGATAAATGGGACCTCATAAAACTAAAAAGCTTCTGTTCATCAAAAGAAATGGTCTCTAAACTGAAGAGAACACCCACAGAGTGGGAGAAAATATTTGCCAACTATA